CCTATGTGTAGATTTTTTTGATCAAGGCTAGTTGGAGTCCTATATGCCTCACTTATCTGTATGTCAAGTTCTTTCCCCCTGCTTGGGAAGTTTTCTGCCATCACTTCTGTGAACATTTTTTTTTATGTCATCTGCACTCTCTCCTCTTTCTTCACTGACTCAATTCAGTCATATTATTCTTCTTTGCATTGTCTAGTAGCTGCTGGATTGATTTCTCGTGTTCCTTTACAATTTTAAAGCAATTTTTCTTTTCTTGATCATTAATTTCAAGCTTTTCTTCTATATCTGAAATTCTTTCCTCACATTGGTTCATTCTGCTGTGCAGACTTTCAATGCAGTTTTTAATGTCCTGGAAATCTGTTTGCATCTGTTTTAAGGATTCCATTTGTTTCCTGTGTTGGGATTCCATCATGTTCCTCAGATCCTCTTATTTTTTTATCTGTGTCCTCTCTAGATTTATTAATCATGTCTTGCGCCATGAGCAAACTCTTTGCTGTTATCTGAGTAATTATTTCTGATTTCATTTTTCCCAGATCCTCTTTTGTCGTCAGTTCAGAGAGTCTAGGTCATTGAGTATCAGAGTGTTCCATCTCGTTTCCCTCTGGGGTTGTTGTAGGTGATCCACAAGTCTGTTTGTGAGACTTGTTTACATGTCTTCTCATTTCCACGGGGAGAGGGTTGCTTCTGGCGCTGGCTCACCTTCTCTGCCCTAGGAGCTTGGGTTGGCAGCGGGGGAGCTTCCTTCCAGGTGCTGGGACTGGCTCAGCTTCTCTGCCCTAGGAGCTTGGGATAGTGGTGGGAGAGCTTCCTTCATTACCATTCATTTTGATGAAAACTGACATTCAGCAAAGCAAGTTTGCAATTTGCTTGCAGTCTTTAGGGAACATAAGGAATGCTATTATATCTTTTCTTATGATCAAATTACCACAAGTTAAATTATAAAATATCATTTGTACTTATTGTTGCTCTATTGAAAAGAAACTGTCACAGTGGATTCTCATTTCCCATGTTAATAGATAAAAAACAATGAGTAAATGCTATGGAAGAGGAGTAGAAATATGTTCAGTGAGGTAGATACCATATTCAGTTGGGCATGATGAATTGGAGGTGCCTCAGTAGAGATCAATAGCAGGAACGTGGATGTACAATTTTAGAGATCCAAAAATACATCTGGTCAGCAAAATCTGTCATAATGTATCTGTTTGCTCAATCTTTGTATTGCTATCAATATGTCTTTGTTCCTTAATGTATAGATGACAGGATTCAAGGCAGGGGTGATTGCAAAGTCCACAATAAACAGGTATTTGTCAATTGGTGACGTGGGGAAAGGCCACACATACAGAAACATGCATGGAGTGAAAAAAAGAACAACCACAGTGATGTGAGCTGACAAAGTGACAAGTGCCTTGGATAAACCTCCTGAAGATCGTTTCCAGACTGTGACCACAATAAAGACATAGGAAAGGAGAAGCAGGAAGAAAGTGCCTACGATTATAAAGCCACTGTTGGCAGCAACAATAAACTCAAACTTGGTTCCGTCTGTGCATGCAAGTTGTATAATCCTGGGAAAATCACAGTAAAAGCTGTCTATTTTATTAGGACCACAAAAAGGCAAATTTACAACAAAAGAAAATTGAGACATAGCATGGACCACTCCTACTACCCAGCCAAGAGCTATGAAGGAAACACACCTTTTAGGGCTCATAATGTTCAAGTAGTGAAGAGGCTTACAGATTGCAATGTACCTGTCAAATGCCATGACTATGAGCAACACCAATTCCATTCCTCCCATGATGTGGATGAAGCATATCTGTGTCATACATCCTTGGAAAGAAATTACATTGTGTTCACTTAAAAGGTCTGTGATCATTCTGGGAACTGTGACTGAGGAAAACCCCACATCATTCAAGGAGAGGTTAGCCAGCAGGAAGTACATAGGAGAATGTAAGTTAGAATCAGCAATCACCAAGAAGACAATGAAGAGATTTCCCAGGATGATCCCTAAAAAGATCAAGGAGAATGCCAACATAAGAAAAACTTTAGTTTCCCAAGAAGTAGAGAGTCCCAGCAGCACAAATTCAGATACTGTGGAGCTATTTAGTTTATCCATTCAATGAGAAAATGAGATGGTTTCAAATCTCCTGTGGAAAGAAAAGGATGAAAAAATCAGGATCAGTCACACTAAGGAAACAGATTTATAGTGAGGGGAATGATTACATAAAACTAATAAGAAAATGATAAAATAGATGCACAATAATATGTTACCTTCATTCTTACTCCACGACTAGATTTTTTCTGTTTGCTTTGCTTCTCAAGGATTTCTAAATATTTTCTCTGACCTCTTTCCTTATTGTTGTACCAGCATAATAATCTCAGGTCTAGTACTCCTTAATGTTCCTGGACTAACTTGCAGATTTTCTACTGTTGAATATTTTGTTTCATTGATATACAATAGACAATTTTAGCTTAAAAATTTCTTTTTAGCAAATTCTGCTCTTATGTATGTTTAGTTTCTGAGTACACAATTTGTCATGGAGGTGAAGTACTGACAGATTATTCATAGTTTCCTCATGATATATTATTATCATAGTTCATACATGATATCCATATTTAATATCTTATGGATATAAATAAGAAATTCATAATAATTAAACATTTGTTTCTGAAAATTATAGTATTGATAGATAACATTTATTATATGCTTCCTTCAGATAGAAGTTTGTACTAAGCTATCTTTTTAAACTGCACAAAATTCCATATGTAGATACTATTGAATTAGACCCATTATATAAATGAAGAAACTGAGTTTCAGTGGGATGCAGTGTGTGAGCCAGGACTTGTAACTTACAGGACACCAATCATGTTCTTGGCCAAGGTACTGTGTTGTTAAGAAGAGCTCCTTCCACTACATTTGGGACTTATCCAAACATCCTCCAAGCAAACTTGCTTCAACTTTTGCATCCCTTTACCTACCAACATAATAAACTTTCTTTATTAATGGGAAAACTCTGAATTTGGGATTACATCTAATTACACTTTCTCTATCCAAATTTTTCTTTATTTGCAATTGAATAGCATTTTTCATTCAATAGTCAAAACAAGAAGATGCCTTTTTTACAGAAACTTTAGATTCCTGAAAACTTATACAATGTTCAGTTTTCAGTCATCATTTTCCTTTATTTCCCTACAGGATTGAATGCTATGAAGGCCTTGTTTCTGTAATTCTTCCTATGTTTATCTTCTTGGCTTTATAAAACTACTACCTTCCCACCTCTTGCCAACAAAAATTTTATTTGTTTATACTCTGAGCTAAAATCTCTCCAGAAGATTTTTGAAGGAAGCACCTTTATCTGAGATCAGAAACACCCCATATGGTGTTTCTAAACAAATTGTGACAATCTTGTTTTCCATAAGATTGGTTGAGTCTAATGATTCATTGAGTTTTAACAAAATAGATGTGAATTAACATTTTTAAACTTGATACTAAGAAGTCTTTTCTGAGTTGACTCAATATTCAAAAATTAGATTCAACTTTACATGATTTCCTGAACAGCGAATCTGTCATTGATGTAGGGCTGGGGTGGCAGAGCTTCTGTCTCAGTGGAGAGAATGGGAAGTGCCCACTCACTCCACAGGGAAAGGGAATAATAGATATAAAATCACTTTTAACTGTGACAAAGCAATTCTATGTCATCAAACTATATTGAAAGCAAATAGAGAAAAGAAAAATGTATTTGTAGTACCTATTTACTTTGGGTTTGGCTGATTTTGAGAAACTAAGACAAAAGAGATTTTTAAAATAAGGCACTTTGTTGTACAAAGAGAAAAGAGACAAAAATGTAAATGGCCAGCGGTAGAAAAAGAAATTCATATTTATATTGCAATCATTCCAACACCACTGTTTGCCCTTAGTTTAGCATGTACTTCACTCTCTTAATGTAAATGACTAAATTTTTATTCATTTACTAGTTTCATCCAATGGAGTACGCAAAATTTCAAAGTAATTAGAAAACACCGGCACAAGTTCAATGGTCTAGCCACTATTCTTTTTTTAAAAATTCACTAAGTTTATTGGCACATTTTAGGAATACAATATGATGACATTCATCATTGGGAATTTGTACCTTTACCTTATATATTTTGGTTATTTTTTCCCATTCCCCTGTCCTTCCTTCCACCCCTGCACCCCTTCCTATTTACAAAGATTTTATTTCCATTTTTTCCCTTCCCCTTTGGGCCTTACCTTCCAAGTGAAATAAATAGGACACACATGTGTAAATACCAAATGGTTTCACTGGTGTGAGAAATTGAGAGTGTAAATCAGGATCAAAATGTAGAATAGATAATGTGAAATAGGAAGACAACCACTATTCTTGAAGCTGAGGATCTGGGAAATTGTAAGATTGTAGGATATTGTTTTCATTAACACTTGAAAATTTGATGTAAGAGTTCAGAAGTCTCAGAGATCTTTTAGGAAGAGAAAAACCTATGATGATTTCAGTAAGTGTATCAACTAAAAAATACATTCTGAAGTTTAATCAGGGCTTGTCACATACTTATCCACAGGAATCACCTCCGAAACTACCTCCTTCTTGGTTGATGAAGTTTACTTTAGATTCTACCTTAAGTCTGAAATGAAGTCCAGTTTGTTTTCTGCAATGGTGCACTTTATTGAGAATGTATTCTTCTCAGTGTGGAATACTCAATAGAGTAGCCTTAGGGCAGAGAAACTGTTCAACTGTGTGTTTTAAATAGAGGCAAAATTTGGAAAGACTTTCCCTGTTATTCTCCTGGGGGACTCATTAGCCACCAATTTTCTGTAAATTTAGTTCTCAAGTGATAATAATGAACCTTTGTCCAAGCTATATTCAAATTGTACTAGTAAGATACAATAAAAATATTATTAAACATTACTAAATGATATTCAAATGTTTCTTTTTGTTTGGTGTATATAACGTTCTTTCTTTGTTTTGCGTCTAGTGTGTCATACAATTGAACCAAGTTGTGACTTCCAATTCTAAGAAAAGTTAAATAAGTTATGTAGATGGGTACTGACAGCCAGTTCAACATTGGCAGGCTGTCGCTGTGCTCAGAAGTTAGGTTTATTATTGAACATCTGCCACTTGTCAGTTAGAGGAATATTTGGGTCTAATCATTCTACGTGCTTCCTTCATTAGAGTTCTGAAAAGTAACAACTGTAATGTGAAACCATATTATGGGCATATCACTAAGTGATGGGAGGATAATAGGTGGATACTTTGTAATATACTACCCTATTAAAGAAATAATATATGAATACAGTCTAGTTAAGATTCACACAGGGCATTACATTTATTTGTAGCAAGGTCCTTTATTTCTTCTTCCCTATGTTTTTTTTTTCTTTTAATGTTTTTAATATATTAAAAAGTAACAGTACAAATTCTGAGATTAGTTTTTAAAAAGGATCAAAGTTTTGAAGGAATGAATTTTATAAACAATTTTGGAATGAAAGGGAAATAGCCTCTTGATACATAAAAAGTTTCAAGGTTTTAAACTTTTAAAAGCAGTAAAATGTTAACATTAAGTTCTTTCCAATGTTCAAACAAAAATCAACTTGGATAATCTCTGTAATAAAATGTGTCCTTGGTACAGGTCTTGGGCACTTGGAAAATGTTAACATTTCTGAAATTTGAGTGACAGAGGCAGCACCTAAAAACTTCATGAATCTTTTTCCCCAAGAAGAATACTTTCAGTAAAACATTTTACTATTTTATGAGTATCCATTGATATTTTTGTTCTCCCTGAAAAAGTAAATTTACATTAATACTGTAATTTTCCATGTAAAAATATACACATATGGATATTTCACCTACAGATACTTAACTTTCTGAGTGACCAGTCATACATCAAACATGATTTAATAAAAAAATTTCTAAAATTTTAGAATGAAATAGCACATGTAGATTTATACTTGTACAAGGTAAAGCTATAAAAAGCATCTCATGGAACATATACTTAAATTCTCTAAATTAACCAACATGATTTATCCTCTAACAATTAATAACATTCTGAAACAAAAAAAAGCACTCGAAAATTATATTTTCTAATTTATTAACGAAATACAGATAGCCACCTGATTAGCTGATAGCTATTCATACAGATTTCCTATTATATGCACCAAAACTGGATTCACTTAGCAAGGAATTTCTTGCAGTACAAAAAATTAAAGTATTTCCTTTATAATCCAAACATCTATGAGGTCTGATCAAAGTATATGGGAATGTTTCTATTTTTAAAATTTGTTACGGTAAAAGACACAATGCCATTATGGCATTATAGAGATGTGTCTTTTACTATAAATTTTTTTTCAAAATCTAAACATTGCATTTTAAAAAATCATGCCTGGTATACAGTCCACCCTTCTGAAGCTGTCTAGATGATTAGGAACTGTGGCACTTTCTTTTGCATAAAACCCTTTCCTCTTCATAAAGCCCTTTCCTCTTCATAAAGCCCTTTCCTCTTCATAAAGCCCTGAGGTGAAAAGTTATTAATGAAATAAGATTGGAGCCACAATTCTTCTCAATTCTGTACTAAAGTGTAGCTATACGTTTTAAAAAAAACAAATGTGGCAACGGGAAAAGCTTCTCTGTACAATTTTTCAAAATATTTTCAGCTCAACTTAGTCTAAAGAGCCTAAAATGGCCCTATAAAACAATGTCCTTTTAATATTTGCTAGTGTCGAGATGAGAGCCATATTCCATCTCTGCTACTCTCCTTTCTGTTATCACAGTCATGGCTCCAGCCAGCATGATTCCTATCTTCATGGAGGAAATCTCTGCCTCCTCTGTAATGGTGGTCAGACCCATGATCAGTTTAACTCTGTTCTCAGCTATAATGTCTACCTGCTAGTTAGGGACGAGAATTCTGTCTGATTTTACGATGTGATTGGGTGTATTCTGGCGCCACTGGGAGCTTGAAGACTGGTTAAAAGTATGATTATGTGACTGAACTGATGGTGAAAATCCTGATTGATCTACATGTGGAGAGCCAGATTTCCCACCATATGACATCTGTCTTTAAACATTGTTCATCACTGCTTGTCTCTGATAGTTTTCTGGAGAAGAGAATGAT